CAACAAGATGACAGTTTGGGCGTGTCTGAAAATTGGTTGGCCAGCTTCAAGCGGAAAAGTGATGATAAACATTATAATTGATCAACCATAAAATGTGGGATGCCTATTTTCAGGCAAGTCCATTTGGTGTCATTTGATGACCAATATCATGCTTCGTGATTCCAGCTGGTTTGGGGCTGGTTGTGATGTAATCGATATGATGAGAATCCCGATTCATTAAGCGGTACAAAGGACAGGGAGTTTTGAACAGTGATCCTTTGGGTTTGTTTGACAATTTTGAGAAAACGGATTGATTGAGATTTGATAATTTGATTCTCCCCTGTTGTTAGCCATAAAATTGGGTTGGAAGAACCCATTTTGTTTCAGTTCACCTTGCTTCCCAGCACATTTCTGTATTCAAATCATTAAATGCAGATCAGGAACACGTGGTTTGATCCCACCTGCTGCATGTTGCCGTTGTAGATATGTCTTTTGCAAACATGTTTTAAGCATATTTATGTTCCATCCCTATTTCTCTAAACATATGAATCATGATGAATCATGATGAATCTAATTTCTCCCCCATGGTCGGCTCTGGCGATATAGCCACCATGACCGGTTAGTTGGATTTGAGTGGATTTCTATGCCCTGAGTCGGCCATGAGTTAACAGTTCATCAACCGAAGTTTGGGCGTCAGACGGCGTCAGGCTCCTATGTGGAATGAAAGCGTCCCAGCAGACTCTTCACTGATGCAGTTTGCTAAATAAACGCGACTGGGCTGGGGCAAACAAGGCAGCTGATGCATGGACTGATGATCTGTTTTCTACTTTGAGCTTAGATGGAGATAGTACTCAGAAAAACCTCATGATATTGAGATCTTTCAAACAATTTTTCCAAGCAAAGCCATTTGGTGTTTGCCACTCGAAGACCCAGTCGCAGCGCCCCCAGATCCTGACTCAAGATCAGCATTTGGGGCTGATGTACCTGAAGGTTCACCCAGTGTCTAGACTTTTGCCAAAATTCCATATATGTCATGACATTTCCATGTGTACATATGGTATGTATATAGTTGTATGATGTTGTATGTATATATAATATATATATATATACATTATAATTATATGTATATTATTGTATGGAAAAAACAACTATTAGAATTATGTTAGAGACTTCTGAACTTTCCTTCAGAATTTGTCGTCTTGGTTTAGTTAGCGAAATGCAGCAATTCGCCTTCAAGGACAGGCTCCGAAGATGCACCCTCCTACCTCCTAGCATGTTGTCGCACTGTGTTTCTTCAGCGTTGTGAGAGAAACTTCAGATCTGTTTTTCGTCTGAAAATGGTAGTATACCACCAAAGAAATGACGTGTTTCATAGGGATATGAAGATTGACCATTGGATTTTGTTGGACCTGTATGATGATTTTCGATCTTTGAAAATTTGCGATAATCCATTGCTCCATAAGAAAATCCAGGTGCTGAGTGCCATCAGTAAGGAGGTTTGTATGTGACTAGCCACGTTTCACCGCGATTTTTGTGATTTTTTCTGGTGCTCCAGATAGGACTTGGTCGGAGTCCCCAGTGAGCACCGGGGTGTGCTGCAACTGGTTTGTGGCACGCGAGGTGTACTCGGACAAGGGATAGAGACAGATGTGGTATATCTTTAAAGGCAACTGAAATTAGATTTGCAATAGGAAAACAATGGAAAACATGGGTAAACCGTAAACCATTTTTCTACTAGAATGCCAGCTGGTAGATAAATTCATTTGGATTTTGTGGAGTCCGATGCAGACATGACTGACATTCAACAATACACACAGTATCGTGATGCTTCTGCATATGCAGGTAAAAGCTAGGGAACTTTGACTTCCCAAGCTAAACGCTGTAATACGCTGTAGCAGTTCTGATTCATGCAAGGGAAATAGCTCCTGATAATAAAGCGCACGATCACGCACGTTCCGAAAAAAGAAAAAAAACTATGCGAACATCTACAACTCAAGCAAGAAATACGGAGAAAGTCAAACACAACCACGATATCAGCATGATTCAGCAGATGTCGGCAACCTATCCGTAGTTCAGATGGCTTTTGGCCCCTTGTTCGCCGAGTCATGGCCATAACATGACGATGCTGCGCCGACGTTTGGTCAAGCACGTAACAGGGCGTGCTTCTGCAAGGAACCGGTGTGTCTTGAGGCTTTGGATCAGGAAACAGTGAAGATCAGATCATTTTCTCGGACAGGGAGTAGAGGCAGCAACGCCATCTATGTCAATGGATGTCAATGGATGTCAGATGTCCTAGATTTTACATTGCTAAAGAATGCTAATGAGAAAATGGTAAAATGGCTCATTCACGTCCCAACTTGATCTATTCTACTGACTTTTTGGATGTACGGCATTGGTTTCACAACCGGGATCGTTTGAGTGTGGGATGGTCACGGCTCATATGAAATGACCCAGACTGCCCACGGCTATTTCGTGTCTTCAGCTCAACAGACAATTTCACTGGTGGTGGTTTCCTATGTAATTATGCCCCCCAAAAAAAATCCCCAAAATATAGATAGATACACCTGGTAAATTAAACTCCAAAATGGCGTTTTTCGATGCGTTGAGACATCTTAAAACCAAATCGATTTTCTTCCCCAGTTCACACCGCGCTTGCCATATCCGACAGCTCGGATCTTCCTGCTTCATCGAAACACGGTGACAAGTTGCTCTGCGCGAAACTGTCCCCTTTGTTTTCTAAAGGGTCTCCTAAGGGGCTAACCAGAACGTTGGTGCTCATCCACAGATTTTATAGTTTTTAACTCAGCTGTTTGTTGCTTTTATAGTGCCCCATAATTCTAGTCCGGTCCCCATTTTGACCCAAAGGAAGCCGATCCGAGTCTATCACAACATGCCAATATCATCGTCTAACACCGGGTACTTACACTCGGATTCTGAGTTTTAGGCTTAGATTGGTGAGATGGGTTTGCCGTATGTCACACTTCAACGGTTGGCAGGGATCAACAAGCGATGAATATTAATGCAGTTTCAAAACATACCATTTTTTCGATTTATCCAGCTATTTGGAATGAATTCTCCAGGCCAATCTGTTTCTTTGTCGGATGACCCAGCCAGATCATCAGATCCAGGTATGGTATGTGATATTTGTGGAAGCGAATTACTCCAAGAAGCATCCACATGTTGATAAACATAGACTACTGTACCCATGCACGTGTGGTATGGGCAGTAATATTTATCCTGTTGGATTCTACAGGCAACACATTCAGGAAATAATGTGTTTTCCATGTTTTGTTTCCAAATTTTCCCAAGTAGTCCTATGGGTAAACCCTGCAAATGATCCTGCAAATGATTTGTTTATTCAAGCTTGGTTTGGTAGGTTTGTTGGGTTGCTTGTTTATTGTTGTGCCATGAAAGAATACATCGAGTGTCTAGCTAAGACTTGTTAGCTGTGGCACATAGGGTAGTCTCCAATTGTAGAATCCCAAAATGTCAGAACAGTCCATAGTTTATCACCATATTCCATTGAAATTGCATTAGTTTGGGATACCACATGTTGAAACGGACCCTACTTGAAAACAATCAACTAATCATTAACTAATCATTAAAAAAATGCCAACAATTACCGTGATTACTACACTTTCATAGAACATTACTCTTCATAGAAGCTCTGTACAAAAAATAGCCTCATTAATGTAGACCCACTAAATCCCATTAATATAATTATATAAAATCCAATGAAACTCATGATGCACATATATCAATTACACCAAGAAGTCAACCCAATACATAACCCCATGACCTAAACCATATACATAGACTCAATACTAACCAATATCTACACTTCAATATATATATATATATGTGCTACGGCCAAAATTTGGTTGAATTGCTCATATTGGGAAATGGTCCTCCTTCTGTTTGGATTCCCATTACAGAATGGATGACCATACCACATTAATCCAATCTTTTGACCATGACACATACACATGTGATAGACTAATAAAAATATGATTCCCAAAGATAGCATATTGATTCCCAACGATAGTGGATATATTGATAATATATATATATCATATTGATTCCCAATGATAATGGATGTAGTTGACAGTATATTGATTCCCCTTTTTATAATGAAACAACATGGGATAGTACATCTGGGTAAATTATCATATTTCACTAACCTGAATCTTGCGGCCATTTGGGGATGATTTCCCAAATCCTAACCATGATTTCCAGGGCTCGGGAGAACAGTGAGGTCGTTATAATTTACCCAGGTACATGATATTCATGGTCAGAACTAGGTACTGTGGGGATCTGAGGGGACTGAGGGGATCTTTTCTGGGGCGCGCGGTAAAAAAATACCCTGGTTGACATGGCGAAGTCGAAAACCAATGAAAATCACCATGTCAAATAAGAAGGTGAAACATCTGGTTGATCATTCCAAATATCAAGAGGGTAATTCTCAGTCATAATATATACTGTATATATATATATACATACATATAATGGCTAGCATAAGTATACCAGTCCCGTATATAGTTACAAATAAACATCCAATATACACATCAAATATATGAGAACTACTAACTACATATGAATCCCATGAAAGTATATGAATCAGTAACCCATATATATATATATACATGTATAATTGATGATGAGCCAACATATAATGGCTAGTATCATATATGGCAAATGGTAAATGATATAGTAAACCCATGAATAGTATATGATACATTACTATATTAATAAGTAACCCATACATTACATCATGCACACCTGTGTGTGTATATATAGTTGATGATAACATCCAATATCATCAATAATATAAATAATCCATCATATGATCATCAATTCAACATACTTAATCATATGTATAATTGATGATCATATGATTATATATGATATAGTTAATTGTGATAATATCCTATAATTAATGGTTAATATCCCACAATTAATGGTAAATAATATCCCATAATTGATATATACCATCCATATGATCATCAAATAATCCCACTGCCAGGCTCTACAGCAGAGCAACCACGAAGGCAACAGCGCCCTACACCTGGCCGTGCGTTTGGGACGCCCAGAGACGTGGGAAGAAAACCCGGTGGAAACACAGAGGATGGTAGATGGTTTTAGTGGATTGTTTGATGATTTTAGTGGATTTCCCAATGGAACATGATGATTTAGGATTTGTTTAGTGGATTTCCTTAATGGAAAATAAATATGTCTAATGATTGTACTGGATTTTCTCAATGAAAGATGGATATTTGATTGAATTTAATGCATGAAAAACTGGATTGTAGACCTGAAGATTGATGATACTCAAAACAATGACTGAACTTCCATGTTTGAAATACAGGGACCAGCACTCCCAATTCAACCAGCAGTCATTTTGAGCCAGTCCAAGCGGTCAGGAGAGGGACATTCCGAATGTGTTGGGGATCCCGGCACTTCGACGAGCTGCGGCTTGAGATGCCTTGAGAACATGCCAATTTTGGGGATGACTATGGGATGACTGTGGTACGTTTCCTCACAATGCGGCTGTTGGGATTTCCCAGTCTCAAAACAAATGTCTGGTGATTTTGCCTATACCCGAAAATTTCTTTTTGTTGCCATTTTTGTTGGGCAAAAAAAAATCCAATTCATCACAAAACCTGGTGGGGATTTTTCATGCTGTGGCTGGAGATTATTTCCCGGGGCGTTTCCCGTATCAAGTTTAGACACCGCAGCTGTGGTGCAAAAAAAACCCACCAGAAAATCACCATAAAAAATCCCTATAAAATCCACCATTTTGGAATATTATGGTAATTAGTAATCACCATATAAAAGTCACTATACTATTATAGACTGTAAGATCTCAGAAACATCCAGAACATCACCCAGCATCGCAGCGTCAGATCCACCGCTTGCTGCGTGCACGCGCAGATCCATCGGCGACGAATGTGCGGGAGCCGAGCACAAGCTGAGCACGTTCTGCGGCCCCACAGTTATGTTTGTTGGCCAAGAAAAAAACATTCGGTTCAACTTAAATACTCTCAGTTCATGAAGAAATCGAGACAAAATAGCGGCAGTCATTCGGAATTCACATGAATTTACTTTTGCACCCCATGGGTAGATTAATGGAATATCCCCACTTATACATGGATTGTCAGTTTCTTTGTCAGTCTCAGCTTCGTGATGCCCGCCACCGTGGGATCATGGAGAGTGGATGCTTTTTTTTGGATCCGCATCTTCGCGACGTCACAGGTTGGAGGGTATACCGTGACCTATCAAAGGGGTGTGGCCATGAATCCATGGTTCGAATAAACAGATTGATTTATATCTTTAAAATATAGTATATATAATTAATATATACTGTAATACATGTGTAGATGAATTTGATTGAATATGTGTATTAATTTCTATATATATATATATAATTATATATATATATATATATTCAACATATAATTACACACATTTACATACTACATTAATCTACATGATATGAACATCCATGAGTTGGGGGCAAAAAGGCGGCACTGCCAGCCCCTTCCAGGCCCAAGGCTTCACGGCGTTCGACTTCACAAGGTGATCCCGCTTTGGAATTCATCAAAGGATGGAACATCACCGGAAAAAAAAACACACATTCCGAATTGGATCCCTAAAGGAACTTGAGATAGACACATTTTCCAAGGAATATCAGGTTTATAACTATTAGTGTGGAAAACATCGTTTTAATTATCAGGAATAAATCATGTTTTTTAGACACAATTAAAGGAATACCCTCTGGTTATTTAACATAGCCATGGAAAATCATCTATAAATGGACCATTTTCCATGGCTATGTTAGTCATAACCAGAGGGTATCATTGAAGATCAGAATCCGTCGGTTTTGGTTTTGATGGTCTTTATGAATGTGGATCTGGAGCCCTGGCATTGTCACCGCAGGAGCCAAAAGTTTACGGAGGCGGGGATGCAGCAGGATGAAGAATCTGAAAACCATTGGTTTAAACCATCCCATAGGATCCATGTATGGTATATGCTAACATTGGGGGTATATTGATGGTAAATGTTACCATATATAGCATACATGGATCCTATGGGCATGGAAAACCTTGCTGGTTAATGACCCTTTTTAATCAGAAAAGAACTTATGGAAATTCACCAGAACTTATGGAAATTCACCAGCTGCTTGCTAAATAAATGTGCCAGGGTTACAATCCGGATGTTACGGGATGTACCCGGACTACAATTACACGTTTTATTCATAGCATCACACGAGTAGCCCATGGTGATGGTGTGACCTTAGGATGGAGGATTCACATGCAGCACATGATGTGTTGGAATTTTCAGGGAAGTACAGTAATTCATCTTCACCAGCGGGTGGTTTCTCAAAATCAAGCTCCCTTTTCGTCGACTTCCGTCCATTTTGAAGGATTTCCTGAAACTCAATGTTGCAAGTGTACCTCAGCAGTACTAGTAGGTCATGAAATGGGATGTTGACTACCGTATATGGTGATGTTTTGTAGTACAATTTTGTGCAACAACCAATGTAATTCCAATCTATCTTGGAAGGCATTTGTCTTACCGCCCACATCACCCAAAAATCCAATTTTATATTCATGGTTGCTGCGTTTCTTGAGGACAACTCCTTTCTCCATAGAAGTAGGAAGCACGATCTTTTTTGAAACAAGTCACTATGACCATAGCCTGGATAGCCCCACCCGCACCGCACGCCAGTCATTGTTGCAGCAAAGTCAGCTGTCTCAGAGCGCTTTCTTTGAGGCCAAAGTTGGGGGTGGATGATGTCCCTGTTGATGGTTGTTGGATGCAAAATGGTGCCAACTCAAATGATGAGAATCACGATTCATGTGTATTTATGAAAGTGACAATCATGACGATTAGTGTTGTTGTTCTTGTTCGTATGATGACGATCATACTGATTATGATATGGATATACGCTAGCCCCCTCAAATCCTACCCACTTTGCCACTTTGTAGCCACTTATTTTGGACATGAATTATGATTCGTTCGTTGTTCCCAAGGTTTTAATAACTTTCCAAACAAAAAAAAGAAATACCGTGCGACAAATCATAGGCCCATGACCCACAAGGTGCACGCATATCATTTGTGGTATGTATATTTGGCAAAGTGAAATATTCTGTGAGCAAAGTCTGATGATATATATATATATACACACGTAATTGCAAATCAACTAGTGCAATTTATTATTCTGGTACCAGAGGTAGACCATTCCATTGCAATAATATGGGATTGTTGCAACTTTCACATAGCGCAGCTCGTCTTTCAAAGGTGTACGGTATTACTTTCAAACAATTTTTTGGCAGGTTCAGCATTTCTTCCAAAAAGGGTAGACCATGAATTTCATTGCATCAATATCAAAACAGAAATTCTTTCATGCAGTACCTTCTTTTGAAAGCTGTCTGGTCTTTCCCGAAGAAAGCTGGTCGTTACCAAGAACCGACCGCTTGGTTCCCTGTAGGCTTCCGTTCAGGTCAACCTTGATACTCTTGATTTCAGATGTTCAATGATATCATACACCCATGATATCACATAATGATGCTATTAGCTAATATCAAGATTATCTTATACCCAGAATCACTATGGACTTTAATATATCATTAATAGTCATTAATATTGTTTTTATGATCATACGATTTGCCATAGTGATTCAGCATTACTATGATACAATATCATATTATACCCAAAATATCATATTAGTATCATTGCTGATATATCCAATGCATTCCCCATGATCATATCAATTATTATAATATTATTCTGATTATGATTACCAAACATATCATAGTATTAGTATTATCATTATTCTGATTCTGATTACCCAAAATATCATATTATTATCATTATTCTGATTCTGATTACCCAAAATATCATATTATTACCATTATTCTGATTCTGATTACCCAAAATATCATATTCTGAACCTGATTACCCAAAATAGCATATTATTATCATTATTCTGATTCTGATTACCCAAAATATCATATTATTACCATTATTCTGATTCTGATTACCCAAAATATCATATTATTATCATTATTCTGATTCTGATTACCCAAAATATCATATTATTACCGTTATTCTGATTCTGATTACCCAAAATATCATAGTATTATCATTATTCTGATTCTGATTACCCAAAAATATCATATTATTATCATTATTCTGATTCTGATTACCCCAAAATATCATATTATTACCATTATTCTGATTCTGATTACCCAAAATATCATATTATTATCATTATTCTGATTCTGATTACCCAAAATATCATATTATTACCGTTATTCTGATTCTGATTACCCAAAATATCATATTATTATCATTATTCTGATTCTGATTACCCAAAAATATCATATTATTACTTATTCTGATTCTGATTACCCCAAAATATCATATTATTACCATTATTCTGATTCTGATTACCCAAAATATCATATTCTGAACCTGATTACCCAAAATATCATATTATTACCATTATTCTGATTCTGATTACCCGAAATATCATATTATTACCATTATTCTGATTCTGATTACCCAAAATATCATATTCAGAATCTGATTACCCAAAATATGTTGATTCTGATTCTCAGCTCTTCTGACATACCCAATTTTCCGCCAGGTCGTCAAGGAGGCAAGATCTGAGTTGAGGACGTCCCTGGGCGAGGCGCGGTCGAGAGCGGAACGAGTTCTTTTGGGGGGTTTTGAGTCATCGGATGATACACGCATTACAATAAATATTTAATATTGAATATACATGTATGTATATATATATTATCTATATATGAACATACACACAGATATATATATATATATACATAGTCTGTATAATAACATATATAGTCTGTATAATAATATAAATAGATATATATATATATATATCATATATCATATATAACATACAATATATTATAGATATAGTATATGTCATTCTATATGTTATATAAGTTATATATATATATATCTACATTGTATCAATATCATATATATATATATTAAGTAATGTTTATATGTTACATATTATATTTGTTTATATTATATGTGTTCTATTTATTATGGATATATCATATTTGATATATATATATATGTATATATAATATATTTTTAGATTAATTTTATAGTGAATATAATATAAAGTTAAAGAGATATTGTTATTCAATATATATATATATATTATTGTATAATATGTATATATATACTATGTAATGTAAAATATATATTGTATATAATATGTCAGATAGATATAAAATATTATATATAATATCATGTAATATATGCATATATACAAGTATTTATTTTATATAATACATACTCGATTGAAGCACAGCTGCAGGATTCCCTTCCTGGATCCCATGATCCATTCCAGTTGCTTGGTGCGTTCTGAATGGTTTCAGTTGGCGCCGGAGTAGCCATGGAAAGATCCACCATGCTATTAATAGGTAAACCATCTATTTCTATGGGCCATGGCTTCCATGGCTATGTTAGTCATAACCAGAGGGTATAGATGAAATATAGATGTAAAAATTCATTTAAAATGTATTTAGAATATGTATATATATATATTATGTATATTCTGTATATTATGTATATTATGTATATAATATATATTTAGATGATCTCCATTTGGAATTATGAATAGTTGGAGGTCTGGTCACACAGAGGATTGGGGAATTGGTTCTCAATTTATGATCAAATTATGTTATACTGTGGGGGTTGTGCTATCCAATTTGGAGAAATATCCTGAAAACACATCAATATACTGCAAATGTGGATCCTAGCATGCGAGTTTCTGAAGAGTTGGAAACCCTTACAAAACATCACTTGATACTTTCAGAAGTGAGAAACACTGGTTTCGGCTTCGACACTGTCTGGAAGATTGCTGCAACGGTTCTTATTATTTTGAATCAAACACCCTGGGTGTTTAGTTGTTCCCCACCGTCTCATTGTTCCTTCCCAGCTGCAGCTACGTTTTTCAAATTTGTTCACAGTTAAGACTTAATGTGTGTTGCTTTCAGGACTCATGAATTGATGAATTGAACCTGTAGCATTTGTAGCCACATCACACCATCTCCATACATGGATCCATTGGGTTTTAGCAGCCTTTCCCAAGGTTTCAAGGGGCTGAACCGTCCTCAAGAGGCGTGCAGAAAATGAAAATCCACTGCTTGGGAAACAACCCCCCATTTCATAGTTCAATCCCCCATCTTACAGATACTAAAAAGATAACATATAATAACATAATATATATATATATATATATATATTATAGTGATTGTTTGAATCATCTTTAATCCACAGTCTGAGACAAAACACATGACATGGCTTTAATCTCCGAAAATGATGGTTCAGGCTGGAAGAGACAAACACAAAGCACACACCATTGTTTACATCCACACAGAGCCTAAATAGAAATATTCATATGCTGCATATCTAGTTTTACAAAAAGGTGATGTTCCTTCGTTTTCCCATTCAAAGGCCAAACAATGAATCCCATTGCAAACCACACATTTTCCATGAAAAATGCAACATGTTCAACACTTTCCAGTGGTTTTCCCATGAAAAAACGCGGCATTCCTCCGCCAGGTCCGCTTCTGACGACGCCTCCGCGGGAAGTCACGCCCCAAGCCACGCCGCGGCCTTCGGCGTCGTCCCCGACAGTGACGGTGCGCAGCGTGCGCAGCGGTGTCAGCGGCGTGTCGGGGGCGCCTGGAGCATTGGGGGTGGTAGACTCCTAATGTCAGTAATGTGGGTATACCCTCTGGTAAAGATACAAAAAACTATGGAAAATCACATTTTTTAATGGGTAAATCAACTATAAATGGTCATTTTCAATAGCTATGTTTGTTTACCGGAGGGTAGTAGTAATGTGGGTGTAGATTGTATAATAATAAACCAGCCATTTGGGAATGGTAAACATACCACCTTTTTTTGATGATTTGGGGAATGGTTTATAATTCTTGTTCTACCCACATTAATGTCAACCTTGGATTAATAATCCCCAAGCGGCTGTTAAATAGGGTGGTACCAATGATAAGTATCATATTGCCATTCGGAGGATAATATCCCATAACCCATAGGATCCATGTATGCTATATATGCTAACATAAAGGGGGTATATTGATGGGATCCATGTTACCATATATAGCAGCACCATGGATCCGTCATGGGTAATAAACAATAAACGCAATAAAACCATCCCCCATGACTTATGGCATAGTGGGTGGGATAAAAACAACCATCTGAAAAACTAACTATGGGTTGTTTTATGACATTGCTTTACTAGAACAAAAAAACGAAAATGTTTTTTTTTGAACCTTTTAACGATCTTTTAGGGGGGTAATTCCTACTGGAATGCTTACTGTGAGGCAATGCTTTAGATAGTTCATGGGATATGAATGATATGAACATATAAACATATATGAACATAATATGATACTATTGATTGCTTGTTTTTTTTCCAAAGCATATGAATTAGTGGAGATGGAATGGGGACATTTCGCGGGATATGGTTCAGAAAAAAATGAGTTGCTGTGCCTGAAAATAATATACTCCAAATCGCAGTTTCCCCTTGCGAACATGATGATTACCAGTGGATTTTTCAGGGTGTCCCCCGAGTTTTTAGACTCAAATGGAGGTATCCCCAAAAAGCAGCATGGCCAAAAATTTGGACTCAGATGATGATAGGGGTCCGCCATTTTAAGTGGAAACAAGTACAG